ATCAGCAGATTATAGAAGCTAACTCTGACCTCCAAAACTGGGACACAGTACTCGCCTAGTTGTATTCACCTAGTTGTGCTTGCGGGGGGCTCTTAACTGTGAATCAACCAACTGCTACTAACTACTATTTTGTTTCCACACACACAGGAAGCAGCGCGTAACAGCTGTCTAACTCGCAGGTACCTATTTACTGCTAGGTAACAGGTACCTAGCAGTAAAAAGTAACAGGTCTATCAGGGTGAAAGAAACTCTGCCCATTTTGTTTTCTCGCCGGCACCGGGAATCGAAGCCGGGCCACAGGATTACGTATCCAGCGTGCTGTCCACACAGCCACCAGCGCCCGTGTGTGTGTGAGAGCGTGAGTGAGAGTCGCGTGTCTCCGTGGTACGTGTTCCGGTATATGATGGCGTGGGGGTGGCGTGTGGTGGCGTGTGATTGCGTGTGGTGGCGTGTGATTGCGTGTGATTGCGTGTGATGGCGTGTGATGGCGTGCCAAAACACTGCATCGACACAGCAAAGTATAGAACTTGTTGACCCGTGATAAAAAAAACTTTGGGTTCGATAACAATGGTGTGTGGACCGAGGGCAATTGAGAATTTTATTGGCTCTTACATATGCTCTATATTTATTGTTAGTGTGTGTGTCTCTGTGTTTCAGAGAGAGAGAGAGAGAGAGAGAGATAGAGAGAGACATACATAGATATTTCACAATCCGTCGTAAACGAGTAAGAAATCTTCCACTAGGACACTGAGCTATGTACACACACTACATTTCAGGCAGGGAATACCTGGCCATATTCTCTTCTATTCTCTCTTCATCTCTGGTATTGTCTGTTATCTCCTTACACACTCAGGCCTGGGGCACACATCAATAGGAAAGCTCTGCCTACATCAACAAAAATAGGAAAATCCGGAATATGTGTTAAGCAATTCAACAAATATTTAGACGCATTTTGGATTTGACATTGATTGTAACATCGGGAGAATTCATTTGGAACTTATGAGGGGACTCGAATACTACGCACCGATAGTTGAAAAATGTTTCAATTAGTATAAACATATATATATATATATATATATATATATATATATATATATATATATATATATATACTGGATTTATGTACCCTGAATCCATTACAGCCTCCTGAATCGTCTCTCCATCCCCCTCCCCCCTCTCCCTTAAGGATGGTGCTGTCTTACTCCAGCTCTGGTACACTGGTATAAACCTCTTTGGGGATTTATTGCTGTGCCTTGCGGATTTCCAGGGATTTATGCGTCCTCTCTCTGTCCACTGAGTTCCATCTGTATTACACTGGATTATCTATAGTTTCCATCAGTATTGCACAGGATTAACCTTAAGGGTTACTTTGTATTTGCTTAAGTTTATGGACGTTTGAGTTGGAATTATTTTTTTTAAGTGTGATTAATTTTTTTAGCAATGGAATTTCGAGTGAAGATTACAAATGGATTTTTCGAAGGATTTTCGAATGAATAAATATATCCAAAGTTATTGGATTTAACTTTGTTATTCTTGTTATTGTTATCATTCTTATATTATTATTACTATTCGTATTGTTAATTAGTTTCATTATTATTATTTACACCAAAATTACATTAATAAAAACCGTAATTCAATTAAGTGGAAATTTGTTTAATAAAGAAGTACCAATATACCTACAGTAGACTTCAGGTTTAAAGTTCA